ATCCGATTGTTCTTGATTTCCTGGTTGTTTAGTCTCTACTGCTGTTCCTGATTCTCTCCAGTGCTGCTCTGCCCTGTTTTTACGTGCCTTTGATTTGCTTATTTGTGCTGTGTAAAATGTAACCTTCTGATGACGTTATTTGTGTGTATTGGTTCTAATGCTTTGTTGCCTTTATGTAACTGTTTATTTTAAGACTAAGTGTTCTTTGTTGCGCCACACGGAGTGGCATCAAGTTACTGCAGCTGTGTCCTCTTTGTGTTCTTTTCCATGTTTTTATGAAGTCCTTTTCTTATGTGTCTGTTCTTATGGTGTTATGTTGGTTGTTCTCTATTGCTGCTGTAACACAGAAATTTCCCAACTGTCGGATCAATAAAGTACTCACTCTACTGTGGTGAAACTGATTCACAATCACTTGTGCTTCCTAAATGGACAGATTGGTATCCCTGAAGTTTAACTTGGTGTTGTACTGTGATGATTAGGTGTTCCCTTAAATTTTTGATAAGTTTATATATAAAAGTGCTGGATGCTTCAACCATGTATACAAGACATTTAGCAGTTTTAACCCCTTGATCCATTATTTTTAACTAACCATTTCAGCTGTTAATCACTTGAACTCACTTTATTCAGACAATGATTTGGTCCTCTGACCTTCATCGGCCTCGATAATCCAGTGAACTGTTTATCTGTAATTTTTAGGTAACTATTTTAACCATATTTTCAAGTACTTATCCATTTCTTTTAACTGCTGTACCTATTCTGACATGTTTACCTATTTTAACCATTTATCCATTATGTAGAAACATTTTAAGACTGCATCCATTACTTTAACCATTTAACTGCTGAGATAGCCCTGCTTGCTTGCTTTTCATACACTGTCAGTTACACTACAGTTCATTCAATGTGAGGATAATTTTTTGGTTTAAAACCAATTTTTTCAAATTGCCTGCAGTTGAGTTACTCTTGCAGCCTTGTCATACATGCCCTGTGGCAACTGCAGGAGTACCCCCTTCAGGTAAAAAGTACTCCAGGTTGTGAATAACTGCATTGAGGAAAAGCATAGATGTGTACGAATTATCAATTCTAATTGGTTTAGAGGCTTCATGGGGGCCTAATTAATTAATTAGTAAGTATAGACAGAGTAGCAGTACTTTCAGTCTATACCAGTATTATCTGTTAAATCTTCATAAACACATTTAAAGCTTTGTTTTTGACCTCCATGTCAAACAAATACAGAGTTTTTAATTTAAAGTTCTAGCACAACATAAAGTCTCAGTGACAGGTATATAGGATCAAAACCTCTTGATTTGTTGTTTGAATGGTGCTGTTTGTCTGTATGAATTTTGCCTGATGGAGATCAGAGGACCTAAACATCTCCATAATAATGTTCAAGTGATGTGCAGTGTGCAGGACTCTTCGGTTTTTCATGCTTATGACCCCTGTTGTAATCATAGAGTAAGGGTTTGGGAAAGCATATGTTGCTGCAGAAAACACAGCATTTATGAAAGTGAGAGAAGTACAAGAGAAGAAAGAGAAAACGTCATTGCGATAGGAGCAACAGTGCTGAGGAGTAAGGCAGTCAGCAGAAACAATAGCTTTACATCTGGAGGACAGTGCTAGCAGCTCATTAAGAGTATGTCATTCATGCATTAGTCAAGCACTCAGCAGGAGATAACTAGGTCTATTTTAAAGATAACACAGCTTTAATAAAGCAGATCAGATTGATGCACATCAAGCAGAAGGCCTGTGCAAGTATGAACCCAAGACATTTTGAAACCGATCACTAAAATGAAGCAAACAAAGGAAAGACACCTTCTTTTACAACTTATTTTGATCCACTTACTTGAAGCATCAAAGCCACCAGAGGGTGCTGGCATGGTGGTTGAAGGTTCTGGTGCTGCAGCAGCTGGCACCACTGGTATCGCTGTAACTGCAGCAGGTACTGGTGCTGTTAGAGAAGGCAGGGAGCCCAGGGAGTCAAAACCTGACTCCAGGAGATCATTCTGTAATGAAGCTGAGGCTGGAGCCAAGGGAGCCAGACCTGGGGCTGCAGTGGGGGACATCAGGCCTGAAGGATATTACAGACAATAGTTTCTACACAGTTACTCATCTTATTCATCAGCTGCCATACAACAACGACAGGAATAAGATGAGAAGGCCTTTGGCTATGACATCATTCTGTGGTTGTGGTGGACAGATGTTTCCAAATCAGTCTAAACTCACTTTGGAATGTTTGTGTAATGAATTCAGACACTTTTGCCAAGCCTGTGCCATTGTTAATTAGATAAAAGCATCTCAGTCATTACTTACTGCATAATTTCTTAATTGGCTTAAAGCTTTTCAATCAAGCATTTGTCAACATTAAGACTTTTTGCAAGACTTTATCAAATATTTGATGGTACATTCATCCATTCAAATTTAACCATAATTTGTAAATAATTTGAACATTTTGGTTAAACTTTTTAAAGGGACAGTCAGAATATTCTCACCTCCTAGCAGGTCATCTCCAGGTCCTCCAGGAGCAGAGCTCTGTGTCTCCTTCACAGGACTGCCAAAGGAGTCTGCAGGAAGATCCAGTTATCCATAATGCAGCATGGAGGGCAGAAAGGGGGAGAGGTCAGCCCTGGACCACACACTGAGACACAGTGGGGGATAGAAGACAGTGAGACAGATCACACCGACTACCACAATGCATGTACTGAAATTAAAACAAATGAAAATAAATGAAAACATGTCAGGTAAAATGGAGGAACTATGAACTTTAGTGAGGAAAAAAAAAAATCTAATTCCATAGGACTATGGAGGCCTCAGTGGGTTGAATATTTACCTCAGTATAGCATCCACACTTTTTTAATACAGTATAACACGCTGCTAGTGAAGAGCCGAAGAGTAAAACTTCAACAAAAGATACACACCTCTAGTTTTAATGCAGTAGGTTAGCTAAATGTTGATCATTACATAATACATAAACTAAAATACACTGTACAGAAAGAAAACACTCAACGTACACACAGAGTGTCATGATTATATTGGGAATGGAACTGAGGCCTACTACTGTCTGTCCTGTATTTGGGGACTGTCTCCATTCAAATGTTAAAATTGCTTGAATTAGTTTTGCACCTGAGTCTATCCCTACATTTAGACAGTAACAGCCTCATCTGAGAACCTAGCTGTGACAATCATAAAAGAAAAAAGTTAAAATAGAAAATAGACAATGATAATCTGAAATTCAACACACTTTATACAGCATATGTCATCTCAAAGAAGTGCACATGCGTGTGTATTTGTGCATTGAGAGGTTACAGTACCCAGCAGGTCAATGACTGGTGCTGGCTCTGCTTTGGGTGGAGAAGATGCCTCTGGAACAGGTTCTGGAGCAGGAGCAGTTGCAGGAGGAGGTGGAGATGTAAACGAGTCTAACCACAAAGACAGGCAGAGAGAGAAGCAGGAAGGGATGCAATTACTCTCTAAATGAAATGATGAAGAAGGAAGAGAGGATGCTCTGTACATGCACTGTTATTTTGCCTGTTCTAAAAGGCTACATGTAGCTGACAGGCAGAAAGGAAGCAGGAGAAAGAAGCAAGCACCCCTGCATCTTAACTGTGTATCCACGTCCATGAAGCGTGCACCATGTGAAAGTACAGGACTGGTGTGCATATGCATGCAGACACCCACATAATACTAAATTCTTTCAGTTTAGTCTGGCTGCACCCTTCATGAAATAAGGAATGGAAAACAGTGATGCAGTGCAGGTAAAGCAGCTTAACTCACCGGTCACAATGTCTCCAGCCGGAGTCGGCTCAGGCAAAGGAGAGGGGCCACGTGAAACAGCAGGAAGGTCTAATTTACCAATGCAAGCAAGAGGCAGAATACAGGAAAGATGAAAACCGTGGAGGTCGGAGAGCAAAGAAAAATGGAGTAAAAGCATTAGCATGGCAGGTTGAAAGACCCAGCATAGACAGAGGGCAGCCATGACGACAATCCAAGACTTAGAGTGGCTACATGCACAGTTCTCATATCACTATGGGGGACAAACCCAAGACATGTGGGAAAACAGCAGACAGAGGAGTGGAAGTATGTAAACCAGAGAAGTTAAAAGGTTCCACACACACAGAAATGGATATCGCCTCTTGTACCTGCACCAAAAAGGTCTACGCTAGGAGTAGTAGCAGCTTTGGATTCTGTGGTGGGGCTTTGCTCAGGCATAGAATCAAACATATCTGAGAACAAGGACACACAATCAAATGTACTTTCAGATTTCAGGCCCAGTGCAAAATGATGAGTTAAGAAGAAAGATGAGGGAAAGCAGAGAGAGCATAGAGCATATTTTGATCATTATACAGATACTGTACTATAAGTTGCTGTGTATCTGTTCAGTACAATGCAAAATGGAAAAAGTGCACAAGTTAAAAGGGAATATTGCCAAATAAACTCCTATTTGTAATAGTAATTGTTCATATATGATCAGAATTTTACCCGGTTGCCAAAACTGTAATGTGACATCACTGTGACACAGTAAAATCACAGATTAAAGCACGGCTCTGGTGTTTTATGGAGGCTTTTCCACTAATCTCTAAGGTATTCAGCATAATGTCTATAGGAACTCTGTGAGGCTGTACTCAGGCACTGTGGTGCTTTCAGCTATACAAGCTTATGTTAAGCACATACAACTGATTTTATTGCATTAGCATGCTAATGTTAGCTAGTTAGCAGTAAACACAGAAAATGTTGAGAATGTTCTGCAGGTATTTGCAGCTTCTAATAGAGAGCTGGTGTACACATTGAACAGATTGCCACTACACGGTACATTGTAAATAGACAGACAACCATTTCCATGAAAAATAAAGAGGCAATTTTAGTCAACCCTAACCTGCTTTTACAACTGTAGGAGAAAACCAGAGCACCCAGAAAAAACCCATAACATAATTTTATCTGAAATTAAGCAATATTCCCTTTTAACTAACAGAGCATTCTCAGCTGTCAGTATTTAAAATACTGGTGACAAGCAGGAGAAGAAAACTATTTTCTTCCCTTTATGTTTTGGCAGACTATTTGTTAGTATTAGGTTATTAATCAAAACAAGTTGAGCCACCTCTGCTGAAAAAAAAACAAATGTCCCTGGATATCAAATTAACCCTGAGATTTTGGTCACCAAATAATGAACTATTAATGGATTTACATTTAAAGTAGATATTTCAGTTTTGCAGAGGAGGTCAAGATGCTTGATTGACGTGATTAAATGAGCCATATTTGAAGAAAAGCCATCATGAAAAGTAGAAAAACAAATCTGAAATGTAGGGACTGGGCGGGTTGTTATCAGTGTTACTCATCATTGTCACTAGCAAGAACACAGCCATCATCATTATCAAAACTTTCATCATCATCAGTCACAATGCAGTGCAATGTGGTGAGAGGCTTAATGAGAGCAAGAGAACTTTACCACCAAAGATATCTAGAGTCGGGGCGGCTGCAGACTCTGTGGTGGTGGTGTCAGTAGTGGTAGTGGTGGTGGAAGAAGGGGTGGGGGCGGCAGGGGCAGCGATGGTTGGCGCCTCACTAGAGGTGGGAGGGGTGGCAGTGGCCCCTGTCTCGCTGGGCCTCATGGCGAACAGGTCTAGCTCTGGAGCAATGGCTGCACTGCCCTCTGTTGTGGCAAAGGGGTCTTCAGGGAGAGTAGTGTTGAGCAGTTAGGAGGGGTTATGATATGAAGAGAAGGGAAGGGGATGGTGGGTGGATGGGAAGGAGGGGGTATTGAGGGTTTGTTAAAACAACAAACACTGTAAAAAGCACAGTTGTGAGGCAAGTCACCTCTGAATCAAGGGTAGGTACCAATAAAGTAAACCAAGCACACCATCACTCATCAACTTCAGAACTGCATCCACAAAGGACTACAGACAGTAGCAGACAATTAGTTCTTCAGTAACTAATTACTAACTGTACAGTTGGGAGTGTAGAAGAATTGCTGAGTGACTGGCCCACTGGTCAATTAATCTTTTAATTTATGAGAACACTCAATCATCCACGTGTCCCTGGGACATATAATAATGACAAAACCATGCACGCTATGAAGAGCGAGGAGCTTACTCTGGAAGAAAGACGCCGGTTTCTAATCCAGCAGTAACTTGTCTTCCTTCTGTGCAAGTCTAAATTCAGTATTAGCCAGCTAATACTCATCAGGTAACAGTTCAAACAGAAATGAGCCACTTCATTAAGTTGTCACCAAAGTTCCATGAAGTGGCAAATTAAATTAAAAGAAATATAAGCCATCACTGTGTGCATGTGCGCTC